ATGTGAGTAGTAGTGGTTTGACACATACTGATCACAAAATTAATTTCATGAGTAAATTTCAAATAAAAATTTGTTGAATGGAATTATTTCAGATCACAAAATTAATTTTTTGAATAAATTACTATCGAATAAATTAAAATTGCAAATAAAAATTTGTTGAATGGAATTATTTCAGATCACAAATCTTAATTTTATTTTAACAATAAGGTTATATTAATTATTAAATTTTAAATTAAATTAATTTTATTTTAACAATAAGACTGTATTAATTATTAAATTTAAATTTTATATTATTTTAACAATAAGTTTAATTATTAAAATGTTTTTATAACTTTGAATTAATACAGTATATTCTTTCTAATTATTATAAAATTAATTTGCAATAATTTCAGATAAAAAATTTCTTGAATAAATTAAGATAATAAATATTTATAAAACTTTCAATTCATTTTCATAAAATATCTTGTAACAATAAGACAAAGTTTCTGTATTATATCGAATAAAATTAAAACCCAATAATTGTATGAAATAATATAACACCAAAACAAAATTATTTTTGAATTTTATTTTTTTATTTTTACATTAATAGATTAAATTAGTTTATTATATTTAAGCTTTTTCCAGTTTTCTCATTCACTTTATCTAAAACATGGCACATTTCTGCTAATAAGTGGAGTAATAAGTTCTGGTGATTGTTTACAATATATTCCCGGTCTATTTTCTGATATTTTAAAATGTAACACCATGAAAGTTTATTTTGGAAGTTATCAATAAATTGCTGGTCAAGTATTTGGTAACGAGAAACATAACCCCAATTTAAATAATATTTTAATACGAGTAAAGTAATAGTTTTTAATCGTTGGTATTTTAAATTTTTTTTTAATATCGAACTTATGTATGTATCGCCTAATAAAATTATCTAAAAGGATTTGAAATTCTGCTACTTTATTCCAATCAAGATATTGTGAAAAGTTGGTTAAGAATGATTCGTCTAACACCTGATGCTCGCAAATTAAATCCCATTTTGCATATTTAATATGTTTTTCAATAAATGAAGTAGCAAATATATAGATTTTCCATAGGATTTCCCAATTTAACTTATCAGCAAATTCGGAAATGAATGTGGAGATAAATCGTTTCGTTGACTGATGATATCCCAGTCAATATAATTTCTTAAATGACGAATATTATTTTTTTCTAATGGTGAAAATGAAAAATTCCCCAATCAATTAGCAGGTCAGTATTGTCTATAAAGAAACAAAATTGTTATTTTTGTTAGGATGCATTATTCATATTAATAACATTTTATTATAAGGATATGATAATAGAATATATTATCACTCAAATTGAATATATATGTAAATGGATAAACATTATTTAAATTGAGTACATTTATTAACAGATAAAAATTATTTATTATATTTCATACAATCACATCTTGTAAAATATTTTATCATTTATTACAAAAAATTTACATTCATATGTTTTATTGTTAAACTGTTTAATTTTCGAAGATTTACCTTTATCTAGAGTTAGATCTAACTCAAACTTTTGGTCTAAGGTAACCTTTTGCTTTTTCAACTCCAGATCTTCTATATTTTTAGGTTTTGCTCCTCTTTTTTTACCAACAGTTTGTTTCACGTTAAAATCATAATCACATTCTAAAATTAATATTATATTTATTGAAATATTTTAAGTAAAAATATTAAAAAATAAAATAAAATACTTACCATCTGAAGACATTTTTCTTAGATGTATGAGAGGTTCTTGCAAAAGAAGTTCTCAGTGATGTATTGAGCCAGTCTCTTATATGCAGTATTTATACTATTGCTGGACACGAAAATAACACATAACACGGATGCGAATTAATATTTTTAGACAGTTTCTTGAAAAACAGGATCTCCATTAATAATTTTAGAATAACACGATGTCTATTAATATTCTTGAACTATACTTTGAATAACAGGAAGTTTAAATATGAATTGAAAATTGACATAACACGATGTTTAAAAATGAATTAAAAACATGTCGTGTCTATTAATATTTTCAAAAACAGTATATTTTAAAAACATACCATGTCTATTAATATTTTAAGAATGTACTTCGATAACAGGACATCTAAAAATGAACACAACACCACTGTTGAATTTAAGTATAAAAGAAGACGTAATTTTTGTTAGAATCAACAAGTTTCAACAATCATTCAC